TTTTTGTTTAATTTTAAACTGGATATTTTTTTATTATTATTTTATTATTTATTATTTTTTTTGTTTTTGTTTTTATTTTGTTTTTTGTACTTTTTTTTTTGTAAATATAGATATTAATGTAATAAAGTTAATGGATATAATGGATTAAGTAACTTAAAAACCTACTTTTTATTTGTACTTTAAATAATTAAGTTATTAGATTTAACGTCTTTTGTTTTTGGTTTTTTTTTTTTTTTTTTTTGTATTATAACATTTTACTTTAAACAATTGTAGTATATATATATATATATATATATATATATATATATATATATATATATATATATATATATATATATATATATATATATATATATATCATCTTTTCTTTCTTTCCAAATCAACATTTAAAACAGCAAAAAAGTGACAACAAATGAATAAGTTACGGATTATTGTAATAAAATATATAAGTATTGCCGTTGAACCCCAAACAATGGTTTATGCATTTCATTTGTCATCATTTATTTTTTAACATATAGAAAAGTTGTTTGATGTGTTTTTTGTTTAATTATAAACTGTATATTGTAGTCTTGTTTTTTCCCCGTAAATATAGATATTGAAGTGATAAAGTTAATGGAACGATGGCTTATGTTTGGATTGTGATATGTTGTCACGCTCACTATTCCTTTTAGTTAACTAATTATCGAATTATAATAATCACAAAAATTATAATGTTAAAATAATAATATGTTTGATGAGATTGCAATGTCTAGACTCTAAATGTCAATACACTTAAAGTGATTTTCGTTGCGCTAAATTCATTTATTCTAATTTTTTTTGAACTTTTTTTTTGTTTTCATTATAAGATTGTTTATTTGTTTTTACATTTTTGAGTTAAAATTTTCATATATAATCGGAATTTTTGGTTTATACTTTTTTTTTTTTTTTTCATAATAAGTTTTTTTGTTTTCATAATAAGATTCATAATTATTTATGGTTGTATTATTGAATGATACTTATCATATTTTATAAACAAATGGTTTTATTATTGAATCGATTAGTATAATATAACACCATCAATTTTTGTGATTATCTCAAAATAAAAAGGTAAAATGAATTTACTAACATTCAACCAAAATAATATTCAGGATCTCTTAATAAATAACATTTTTATATAGCATTAAACAAATAAAGAAATAAGACCACTTATAAAAACAGAAAGTCATATATATATATATATATATATATATATATATATATATATATATATATATATATATATATATATATATATATATATATATATATATATATATATATATATATATATATATATAAAGCAAGAAAAAAAGAAGTTCGTACCAAAACAACATTTTTGATATAGTATCAATGAAAACAACATATTTGACATACAATAAGCGAACACAACATTTTTGATATAACATTAAACATTTTTTATATAGAAAAAATGAAGCTATCCGTGAAGTTGTTTATACAAAAACAACATTCTTGATATAACATCAACCAAAACAACATTTTTGATATAGCATTAAACATTTCACATATATACATTCATAAAAACAGAAACAGTCAATAGTTTCACATATATACATTCATAAAACCAGAAAAAAAAAAAAAAGTTGTTCATACCAATTCCACAATAATCAAGAGTTTCATATTCATAAAAACAGAATAAAACAAAGTTGTTCATACCAATGTCCACGGTTGTAAAAGTCGGTCTAGGCAGCCGATTAATCGGCACCTAAATGCTTGGCGGCGTCTAACTGCCTACGAATAGGGGTTAGAGGGTTAAGCTAGGCGGAATTGGTCAATATCGGTCAACACCGGCCCAACTCGGACCAAATCAGTCCAACTCGGACCTAATCGGTCCAAAAGACTTTAAAAGACCCACCAGCTTATGGAGCCGGCTTGCCTAAAACATAAATGTGTTTGTTTTCGTACGGAGGATTCCCTTCATATAGAGTATTTTTTTCCCTGATAGAATGTTCCAGCTTCTATGTGGGATGCTCAAACTTGTACTCTTTCATATATGTTCTTTGCATCTCGTTCTTCCCCCAATTTTCTTGATGGCTCGTCTCCTCCCCTGCTCGACTAATCCTCCCCCTGATGAAGTATCGGAACAATCGACAGTAAATAATCGCTTAATCTGGAATCAATAATCGTCTTCTGCCACGAGTTCTCAAGTACCGACTCTGCCATTGTTTTTTCCCACGAGCTCTTAAGTACCGAACCCAATCAACAATCAATATTTTGGTAATTTGGAAAGGATTAGTGAGGAGGAGATTAGGTCGAATCGAGGTTATGTATGCAATAATTGATGAGTTATTTGCTTAATTTTTTCGTGTTGTTGTCGATTTCAATGGATGCTAACTTAATTGTCGATTGGTTCTGATTCTCGATTCATCTTAACTGAACGTTCTTTCTTCCCTTGACAGGGTTGATAAATTATAGATACGTTCAATCCAATTTCATTTTTCATGTTTCTATTGTTGATCGAATTAACATTCAAACTCAATAAGATTTCTGCAAACCATATCTGATTTCAAGCTCGCCTTCCATTTGTTCTAAGGTGCTTGTATTCGATTATCAAACCTCTGCATAAATCGATTGTCAAACCTCTTTATATTTAATTATCAAACTCAATTATCAAACCTATGCAATTGTACGATAAAATGAGACACTATAACTGATCCTGGGTAAAATTTTCTAGTTTCATCAGTTCAAATCTGACACTACTTTTCATGCTCGCCATGTGTTCGATAAAATGCTCAAATGAAGTTCTCAAATGCTGCCCGCAATGATATTAGGAAATTTGACATCTTGTTATGCATTAGAAAAAAATTTGTCATCAAGGGTTTTTTCAACTAAAGATGATACCACAAAATCAATTATCAAGAATGAAAGAGAAGTCACTGGATATATGCAGCCTTCAACATCAACATCCAAATTGCTAGAAGAAATTGATAATGAAATTCAAATGAAGGTAATGATTTTGATGATTATGATGAAGGTGGAATCCTGTTTTATGTTGAGGATATGGAAAAATTGATGTATAATATTTGAAACATGCCGGATAGTTTGAGGTTGATACCTTATTTTCAGAGAAGAGAAATGGCTACAAATTTGGCCATGAAAATGGCTTCAGTGTTTGGAGATAGTTATATTTATTAATTTTTTAATAATTTTGTTTATTTATAATGTTATATTTAATTTTATATTCTTAGGATTAATGTTATATTTATTAATTTATTAATATTTTTAATAATTAATGATTCACGATTAATCCCCACTTAGCCGATTAATCCTTTGACCCAGTCCACCGATTAGCCTACTTGGAATGATTTCTACAACCTTGCCAATTTCACATCAATTTCATATATACATTCATAAATTCAAACCATCAATTTTAATAACCTGGTATTGCCGGAAAAACAAAGCTACAATCGGTGGTGATGTGTCCTCACAATGGGAACTTAAAAACAGAAAAAAAAAAAAAAAAAAAAATCGTTCAAGTTAGTCGTTCGTAACCGGTGTTCAGAAAAGAAGAGAAAGAGAAATGAGTAGAGAAAACGAACCTCGTCGGAGATACCATGTCGAAATTGGAGGTGACAGTTGACAATGGAGAGGTGGTAGTCGGTGGAGTCGCCTTTGGAGGTTAATTGGGGGCGGGAGTCGGCTTTGGAGGTCAATCGACGGTGGAGAGTAGTGGCGTCAGTGGTGATATTGCAAATCCTCACCGGAGAGAGCCATTGGAGATGGTTAAAGATTATACATCATTTGGGTGAGGAAGCTCAATAAAAGGGGAAACCCTTTAGCGGCAACAGATAGGCTATTAGCGGCGCCATTCTGGAAGGAGCTCAACATGCCCTTTGTATAGATTATGGACCGTTGGATTGGACGAGAATCGTAGGGCCAAGATTTAGTCCAATGTGGGTCAACTGATCAACAACGACGACAGGTCACCGCTAAAGGCATCGTCTCTATTGCTTTCCACAAGAACAAACCCTATCCGTTGGATCATGTTTCGTGACAAGGGCCAGGATTGAAAGTGGCGTGTCTCCGACGGATCTCCGGTCCATACCTCTAGCGACGATAGTGACATTTTAGCGGCGACACAAAGTGTGGGGGCTTGTCTGATGTCTTCGCTAAAGGTCATGTCATCGCAAAAAGCGACGTCCCTGGTACTCAATATTCTTGTTGTGTCTAGCTTTCCATGATGAGGCCATGAAGGCTTGTTTAATTTGAAACTTTTCATTAACGGAAGCCAATTGGCCATTCTAGCCTTACTTCCCTGATTGGGATACCAATGTAGTTGAAGGGATCTACCCATACACCCCCCCTGCTACGATACCATTATGGATGTATTTAGTCTATAATTTATTAGTATTACGTGTCTTTATCCCTTATAATAATAGTTACACATAACTTCACTTTTCCGTAAACTATCATCAAATTTTCAAAACCAAAATCATTAAACTACTTTTTCTATTCGACGAGTAAATCAAAAAAGTTATTGAGAGGTCGAAACAAATGTTGGGTCATTCAGAATATATAGTAAAGGAAATTACATATCAACATTTATGAACATACCTTGTAAATAATGTATAATAAATAAAATATGCAGTCCTTCAATATATAATATTCACTTACTAATAATTAGAGAGTAATTTATTATCCGAATCTATTATAAATTGGGTCAGACATCAAAAGTCTAAGGATGGAGCTGAAGTTTTTATAAGGCTTAGGAGAATTTTTCACTATATTAATTAAAATAGATGTAGTTTGCCTGGTATTTTCGATGACCGTACCGCGTTATTCACCAACTTGATTTTAGTCAACTATTTGATATCCTATAAATCCAACGACAATATAAGTTGAGATGCAACTCTTTGATATCCTATTAAGCCAACTCCCATATAAGTTGAGATCCAAGCTTGGGCCGGGGTCTAATTGTCTCAAAGTAAAATTTAGAGTCCGAATATATTCACTAATTAAATCATATGTCCACTTCAGAAGTAACCCTTGAAGGTTTTCTAATTCCACTGAAGGAGATCAACTTGGCCACCAGAGACTTGATCAGTCCAGAAACTCATATCGGAAATGGTGGATTTGGTGCGGTCTACAGAGGAAAACTTTCTGAAAGTTGGCAAAACTGCACAGCTGCCTTCAAACTCTTACATCCCGATCGTTACAAAGGAGAGAATGACTTTCATATTGAGGTTGAGATGATCTCCAGCTTCAACCATGAAAACATCATCCCCTTCATTGGCTACTATCACGAAGACAATATGATGATTATAGCTTCAGAATACGCCATCAATGGAAGCCTTGATCATCATCTCCAAGACCGCAATAAGAGACGTTGCCTAACATGGCCACAACGCCTGAAGATTTGCATAGGGGCAGCAAAAGGACTCGAGTACCTTCACTCTGGTCTTGGAGAGGGCCGGAAAATAATACACAAAAACATCAAGGGTGCAACCATATTGTTAGATGGTAATTTCGAAGCGAAAATTACTCTTTCCAAAGGCCCCATAAGTCAAATCGTTCGCATAATGACTACTTTTGATGTTGGTTCCTCCTGTTACATGGATCCTAATTATAACGAACGTGGCATCCTCAATGAAGAATCAGACGTATACTCACTTGGTGTGGTACTATTTGAAATATTGAGTGGCATGCTCGCTCATGATACAAGGATTATAGAAGATCAGAAGCCACAAACTTTGATGAATTTGGTCCGAATCTACTACGATGATGGGTTGGAAAAGTTAATTGATCCGTTGATAAGAAATCAAATTGATGATCGTTCTTTTCGTATTTTTAAAGAAGTTGCATGTCAGTGCATAACTTTCAGATCGAAGGATCGACCTAAGATGGATAACATCATCCAGCGCATCGAGGAAGCATTGGATGTTCAAGTAAGTCTTTTTATTTGATTACATTCAATCACATCTAGTTTCACATGCCAGAATGCAAAAGTACGCTCTAATTATGCAAGAAATTTGGAGCCGTGTGACATCCGCCGCTAAAAGTCTATTGCACACTAATTACCGACCGATTTGGATGCCGTTGATCATTTATGTTGTGGTCTTAATTTTTGCCTCTAAGCAAACTCGGTTATGTTAGGCATCCACTATGCATTGAGCTATATAGTGTTCAATGGATTGCCACATCATTTTTCTTATTTAAATTTTATACAACTTATTAATTTTTTTCTACGATGCATTGAGGTCATTAAAAAATTACAAAAGTTAATTCATAGTATATATTTAAATTTCAAAAACTTTCATTTTTCGCATTGAAAAGTTCAATGACCATTGAACTACAAATCCATTGAATGCCAATGTGGCATCTCACTATGGTAAAGTTCAATCCGTTGAATGACAAATAAACTTGTCACCTCATTCAACTCTACCATTGAACTCACCATTGTGGATATTCTTATGTAAACAGATACAAGGAGCTCCTTCCACCAGTGCAACTATACAAATCAACCAATATCATGAGCTAGAACGGTTCCTAATTCCGTTGAAGGATATCAACTCTGCTACCAAAGACTTCAGCCCCAAAACTTGTATTGGTGTCCATGGATATGGTGAGGTCTACAAAGGACAAATCTCTGAACATAAGGAAAACCGCACAATTGCCTTCGACCGCATGTATAGCTCACTAGGAGTCCATCTATTCCATACTGAGGTTGAGATGATGTCTAGCTTCAACCATGAAAACATCATCGCTTTCGTCGGATACTGTGATGAGGATAATGAGCACATTATAGTTTCCGAATACGTTGTGAATAAAAGTCTTGAATATTATCTAAAAGACCCCAATGAAATCAGGTGCATTACATGGGCACAACGCCTGAAAATATGCTTAGGAGTAGCAAGAGGACTCAAGTACCTTCATTCCGGTCTTGGGGAACACAACATAGTAATACATAGAGATATCAAAAGCGCAAACATTTTGTTAGATGAAAATCTAGACGCAAAAATTTGTGGTTTTGTTTTGTCAATATTAGTTGATCGAAATAAACCACAAGTATATGAACCTGCTGCTGGTACCCCATTTTACTTGGATCCCATCTACTATGAAAGCGGCATTGTCAAGACAGAACTAGACATTTACTCATTTGGGGTGGTACTATTTGAAATGTTTGACTGGGATCTTGGCTTACAGTAATGAGAGCAATATTGGTAATGAGGATCAACCTGAAACACTCATTAATTTGGTCCGGCGATACTATGATGAGGGAATGGAAAACTTAATTGATCCTAATATAAAAGATCAAATTAGTATCCATTCTTTCCAAGTGTTCAAGGCAATTGCATATCGATGCATTAGTTTGAACTTAAAGGATCGGCCTACAATGAACATGATCATCAAAAGGATTGAAGAAGCACTCGACAATCAAGTAAGTCTTATTTATTTATTTATTTATTGAAATCGTGGCATGTGTGGCTCATACTCGGTTGAAATGTTTTTTTTTTTTTTCCTTATAATTTGAATATTCCGAATGAACTCAATTTCATGCGTAGCAAGAAAAAGAGGCACATCATACACCACGGATTACTAAAAAATGACTAAAAGGAACAACAAATATAATCCGGTTATAGAGGAATTTGGTTCAATAAAAATTGGATGTTTTGTAACGTTTCGATCATGGATTTAAAATACTGGTTGTTTCTTTAAAATAAAAAAACGGGCTCTCATTAGCCGGAGGCAGAATTCGGGCTCTCACACACTTTTAAATAGGATTCCGTAGTTTGTACTAGTGGTGATTATCGTTCAAGATTTTGTGGATTAGAAGTTGTGTACATAAAAATGTTATGCCTTGTTGACAAGCTTATATTTTGAGAATACATGGCCATACAAACATAGAAACATACATTCACCACCATAATTCTTTTATTGTCGTAGGTAATTATCACGAATTCTAATCTTATCGCATGTTATTATCCTTTCAAAACATTCCTTTGTTGTCGTAGGTAATTACACCATGACCGAGATTTCCATAAATCCTACAGCATGACCACAACCAAGAGATATGCCACTAAATTAGAAATCAAGAAACTTATTCTACTCTTACATCATATCTATCTCATGATAAAAATATATATAAACAAGAAACGACAATGTAAGGTAGAGGAATTAATGTTTCGAAGAAATATGTCGTCAATTTTTCAGGCATTGGTAGGAAAATGGCACAACATATCTAACTAAATTCAGTTTCGTTTCTATTCACAGAACCCCGGACCAGCTTCTATCATCACCACACCAAGAAAAGAATGTCAAAACCTAGAAAATTTTCTTATACCACTCAAGGAGATCTACCTTGCAACCCAATACTTCAGTGTTGAAACTCAGATTGGAGATGGTGGATTTGGTGTGATCTACAAAGGACAACTCTCTGAGCACCGGCAAAAATGCATAGTTGCCATCAAACGCCTTGACCAAAATGGTTATCAAGGAAGAAAGGAGTTCCTTACTGAGCTTAAGTTGATTTCGAGCTTCCACCATAAAAACATCATCCGTTTCATTGGTTATTGTGATGAAGGCAATGAGATGGTTATAGTTAGTGAATATGCTAGTAACGGTAGCCTTGACCATCATCTTGAAGACCCAAATAAGAGGTGTTGCTTAACATGGGCACAACGCCTTCAGATTTGCTTAGGGGCTGCAAGAGGACTCAACTACCTTCACTCAGGTCTAGGGGAGGACAATAGGGTAATACATAGAGACATCAAGAGTGCAAACATATTATTGGATGAAAACCTTGAAGTGAAAGTTTGTGATTTTGGTCTGTCCAAACAAGGCCCCAGAGATCCGCAACCTACGCATCTCTATACAAAAGCTGCTGGTACCAACTTCTACTTAGATCTTATTTACCAGGAAAGTGGTATCCTTCGTAAAGAGTCAGATGTGTACTCGTTTGGTGTGGTACTGTTTGAAATTTTGAGTGGAATGATGGCTTTCAACCACAGGAGCTTGGAGAACGATAGACCACAACCACTGATAAATCTTATACGGCGCTACTACAATGATAGGCTTGAGGAATTAATTGATCCCTTTATTAAGGATGAAATCGATAGGCGTTGTTTTCAAACCTTTAAAGAACTTGCATATCAGTGCATTAGCTACAATTCAAAGGAACGGCCTACAATGGAAGCAATCATCGAGAGGATTGAGGATGCAATATATTTTCAAGGAAATTCTTCTAATCGATTATTTTGAAGGGATTATGCTTTCAAAGGCAAGAATAAAAATGAGCATCAAGTATATAATATGAGAATGTCATGATATGTACAAAATTTGATGAATAATGCTTGAGATATATGAAAGAGTTTTGAAGACAAATTTGGGTGAACTGGTTCTTAATTTTTTTTTACATAACTTATGTTACTAGGTTAACCTAGATTGTTAATTCTATTAGTTACCGTTAATCATGTTAGTTATGTTGACAGTTATATGGGAATTATTGTGATGGTTTGTGAAGCGTCTTGTTGGTTGGAATATGTCCAACCATCTAGTCGTATGTATATAAAGGGGTAATAACATTTGTAAAACGTATAAAATAGAAGTAGTCATACAACCTAAAAATATTCCAAGTCTGTTCATAAGATTCAGGAGATCTTCTCTCCAATTTCTTGTATTTAAAATATGTACATCTAGTTGTTCACATACATAGAAATATATAGTGCTTTCATGGTTTCAGAGCTTTAACAACACGTAACTCCATCATCAACTTTTGTTTTACACAAACAAAGTTTAGAAACACCATCCTAATATCCAAATACCAACATACCAACTAAAACAAACACGACATAAACAGTTGAATGAAAAAAAAAAAACAAGAAACCAAAAGACAGAAATCTCTCTAATCCTTAAAACTGATGCACCGATTAGGCACTTTTCTGACAACGCTTCTCAATAAGATCTGCTGCATCTTGAACATATACAATGCTTTCAAAGGGTTCTATTTATTAGTTAGGGGTTAAACATATTTGTTACATAAGTACTAAAAAGACCAGTTTGGTTTATATCTTATCCTTTGTTTGAAAATTTATGTTTATCCCCAACAAAGTGGTATCATAACCGGTTTTAATTAAAATCAAAGCAATCTTGTTTTTTTTTCTTACATAGGGTGGAGGGAGTCAATCTCCCTTAACTATCCTAACCTTACTTCCACATAGGCACCACATCAGCTTTTCTTTCTCCTCCCACTTCCATCTTTCCCAACACACAACACAAATAACCCATCTTTCCTAACCAAATCCTAATCTACAAGTACTGGATCATATGGTACAAGTTGAGGGAAAATAGGTTGAGTGGGTTCAACTTGACAGTCAAGTCACCTAACCCTCATTTAGCATGACATGGAATCGTTTTCTTGGAGGTATCGCAACTATCTATCATCCATTTAGTGCCCACTTTGTCCACCCTTATGGCTATGTACAATAATTTGTTTCAAGCCTATCTACCACTATTTAATGGTATAAAATATCATAATTTGGATGTCTATATGAGGTTTAAGTATAATTAGCAAGATATGTGGAGTATCTTTACATAAGGTATCTCTGAACCACCATATCCCACTGATAGATGCCATTTATGCATATTTTTGTTGGATTAGTGTCTAAGTCCATAACTATTTTGGTATGTACTTGACCCGATGGTGCATGGTCCTTTTGGGTTGCCTTCACCGAAGCAACTTGATAGGATGAATTATGGAGAGAAAGGATTAAATATGATTTATTAATATATTATGGGAATAATATATTAAAGGAGAAATCATATTGTTTAATTAATATTAGTCAATAATTAATTGGTAATTAGTTTTGTGACTAAAAGAGATTAATTAAACTTAAGGGACTGGAATTGTAATTATAAGATAATTGCAATTTGGGCCATGGATTGCCTTGTATTAAGGGATGGACGAATTCTAATGGGAAACCCATAAGGAAATCGTCCATGGGCTTGATAAAAGGAGTCTATGGGTTGCTTAGGGCTTAAGCATCCAAATTAGGGTTTCCTTGTTAGATAACCCTAATAGCCCAACTATATAAAGATCCCTTAAGGCTCAAAAACGTGGCTAAGCTTCTTGTAGGGTTTCTACACATTTTTGGTAGCCTCCACCTCTCTCCTCTTCATCCTCTTGCTTATGGTGTTTGTAAGCCATTAGAGGAGTGACACTTGTGACTCTAAGCCTTCCAAAGCCAATTCAAGGAGGAATTGGGATTGTTATTGCTACATAACAATCAAGGTTGATCTTAAACCTAATTACATGTTAATATGATTACTTGTATGCTAGAATTAGGGTTTATAGTCTTGGATTCAAAGCATGTACAATAGAGAAACCTAGATCCAAGCATTAGGGTTTGTATGAGCACATAGGATGTCTTATGACCAAAACCCATCAGTGGTATCAGAGCCTAGCTTGGTTTCAATTGTATTGATGCATTGTATAACTGAAAATTTCGATTTTTTGGATTCTGGAGGCTGGACTCGCCGAGTCCATGGCTGAACTCGCCGAGTCCATGCAGACTCGACGAGTCCATGCCTGACTCGACGAGTCAACTCGTCAGATAATGCTTATCTCGGGATTTCTTGCTGTTTTTGCATATGGATAGTTACCTTATCATGTTAGATCAATATAAATCCGATTTTATGATATATATGACTATATTCTTGATCTAATTAAAGATAATTATCAATTAATAAGATAATTGTTTCCTTATAAGATAATTGATTAATTATTTTGAGTAAATTGATAAATTGTTTTGCAAGAAATCATTAAACAAATCAAATATGGATAATTATGTAATTAAATGTTATTTAGATTATTTGTTATTTGATCCTTGTTGTTATGAAAAGTTTCATATTTTCCCCTTTAGGTTTTATAGTTTAAATTTGAACCCAAAAGTTTTGAAGTTTTGAAATTTAAATAGTTAAAACCCTAATGTTTTGAAATGTTTCAAAACTTGCCCTCAAGTTTTGGAATTTAAAAGTTGATTAAAAGTTTAATTAGGAATGTTAAATTCTAAAACCCTAGTAATGTTTTGAAAAGTTCAAATCACACCCTTATGGTTTTATTAATTAATTAAGGAGTATAATTAAAAGAGGTTTAATAAATCCATAAAAGTTTAGGTTAACCATTTAATTGAATTAAAAGTGTAATTGTTAAAGTTAACCATATAGTATTTTAAAAGTATAAAATACACCCTATACTATATATAACATTAAAAGTATAACATTATATATATGTATGAGTAAAAGTCAGTCTTACCGTTAGTAGGCCTCATTCACGAAGCTGGTCTATAAGGGGTGTTTAAGGAAATTGCCTATAAAATGGCGATTGAATGGGTATCCACTCTTACCCACCGCACTCTTGACTAGTGGAGGGTCGTTAGCCGAACGGGTAGGATAGGACGAAACCTTCCATTATAAGTATAATGAAATACAAAGTAACTAAATGTTTTTCAAATTCCCAATCTTAGTTACTTAGGCAAAAGTGAATTGATGCAATTCCATGAAATTACACTTTGTGCCCTTGCGAAGACGTTAGTGGAGCGTGTGTGGTTTACCGGCACACTAAATGGTTCTAAGCAAAGGTAGCAAAGGGTGACTCTTGTCAATGTGGTTTGTCATGATGTAACGGGGCATGGTTATTCACACCCGCTTTGTGATCCTCGGCATCCCAGTCACAAACAAGAGGGGCATATCGAGATTTAAACATGCCATTGAAATGTTCAATGAATCTCAAAGGATCTAGGAGTTTTCATAGATTTAAAACTTAAATTTTTTTTCGTTTTTCATGGTGGAAATTAGTGAATCGTCATTCACTTACCTTCAAATATTCTGCAATTGGGTTACGCATCCCTCTCCCGAGTTGTAGAATATTGTGTTGGGTCCTAGCCTTAGTATTTCATTTGGGTGATCTACTAAGGACTCAATCAATCAACTAACTTGAATTCGTTTTTCTCCCGATGTCAAAGTTCGACAACTATGGTCTTCCCAAATCCCGTGGAACAAGCATTCCACATGAAGATGATATTCCACGATTCGATCGAGGAACAAGAAATCATGCTTCACTTCCTCCTCCTCCTCCAATTATTCTCCCTAACCCACAAGATTGTAAAATTGAAAGGTTCAATATCACTCAAGCCCTTTTGGCAAGTAAACATAAAGAGGGCAAGTCGGTGTGTGCACACGTCTTAGGGATGAAGTCACACATTGATAGTTAAGAATGATGGGATCCGTTGTCGGTGAAGCGATGGCTGTTGATTGGGTTCTTCAGTCACTTCCTAACTCGTATAGTGAGTTCGTAAGAGAGTACTATATGATGAACCACGACGTGACCCTTATAGATCTCACCTACATGCTTATTGCTGCTGAATCAGCAATGGTTTGGCGCAATAGAAAAGCAAAGTTGATTGGTGAATCTGCCTTCAAGACCTCTATGGATATAGACAATGGCAATGAAAGACATGCAATGATCGAAAAGTTTGATCATAAGAGAAAGGCGATGTCTGAAGTAGTTCCATGTGTTGTTCCAAAAGAGTCAATTTGCTTTTATTGCCAAGAGAAGGGGCATTGGAGACGAAGTTGCCCTATTTACCTAAGAGATCTAAGAGATGGGAGAGTCAAAAGTATGACTACGCTTTAGGTAAGAATCCACTATCTAACTCCATTAAGTTCCTATTCATTGATTCTTAATACATGATGTGATAAGATTGCATTTGAATGTTTTGAAGGATCGGTGAAAAGAAAGGAAGCTTGATAAGAGAGCAAGATGAATCTAATCACAAGAGATGGATCTCGATCTCATGGACTTGAAGATTGGATTTTGAGCTTAGATAGTTATGATAGAGTTGTTAGAAATTTTCCTTTTACATAGTTTTCAATAGATTTTGCATTGTAAGGACAAATGTTTTTCCGCTGCTTTTATAAATAAAATAAATTTTGTTTGACTTATTTATTTATTTGTTTACTTCCTTGCAATGAAATCGTTATGAAAATTGATGTTTGCATATTTCTACAACGAATGGATATGATTCTTAGTTATGTTATTTATGGAAATGTCGAGAATTTACCAAATAGGGAGAGTTTCTCATCGCCCAAGTTTCAATTGGACAGAAACTTGGAATCATCAACTTGGTTGCACGATGAATGAGAAATTTCATATTTGGAAATTAGACTAATTCATTGACAAAGTGTCAAGTGAAGGACTAGGA